CCGCTATACGGTATTAGATGAGAGAATATTCTATTAATGTATAGAGGATAATGAGAAACTGAAACTCAAAGTTGCTGGTAATGAAGTATTTATAACTGAAATATTGGAAGAGAAGACACAAGTAGAGGAGAAGAAACAGATTATTACTGGTTAGTGTATCATCAGTACATAATATTAGATGAAAGAGTATTCTATTTTTGTAGAAGATTATGAGAAACTTAAAGTCAAAGTTACTGATTTAACTGAACTATTGGGAGAAAAGGAGGAACAATATCTCAAGGAGAAACAGATCATTATTGGTTAGTTAACTATACACACAGCATGTATTAGATGAGAGAATATGTTTATTGTGTAGACGACAATCAAAATCTTATTTCTGAGAAAGACAGAGTTATAGCCAAACTGACATCACAAGTAGAGGAAAAATCACAGAATGAGAAACAGATCATTACTGGTTAGTGTATCATCATCAATCAATAATAATTATTAATATTCTATTAATTTATAGACCTTAGAGCTAAAGTGTCTGATAATGAATTGTATACAACCAAACTAATGAAGGAGAAGTCACAACTACAGGAGAGAGTCACATCCTTAGAGCAACAATCCATCAAAGAGACTAGTTCCATTGGACTACAATTTAATTACCTGATCCCTTCAATGGGTAAGAGTATTATTGTGTGACTGACTGAGTGCAGGGTTTACCACTGGATTTTGGCATATAGTGCTCATGCAGGGTCTTATCAGTGTATTATCCATTTGACCAAAGGACCCTGTAGAGGGTACATATATTTTGACAAAAATCACAAGGAGAGAGTTCATAATTTTTATAATTTTTTCTAATACATTTACATGTATGTACTTGTTCTTATGTTGTGTATCAAGTTTGAGCTGATTCTGATCAAGTTTGGATTTTTTATGAATTTTTAAAGTTGCTCCAAATGCCATGTACTGTATTGTAGTGCTTGTCAGCTCATGAAGCTCATGCTGTTTATCTCACTTAGCATGCTTTGTGGGAAACCTTGACTGAGTGTATACAATTGTGTGTGTACTCACTGTATATATTTTGTATAATTGACAGATAAATTGGATTGTCTGAGTGATGTCCAGGTAGCAGAGAGGAAGCTGTTCTTAATTCAAGGAGACAAACCTCAACTGATGAATTGGGAGAAATATGGTCTAAGGATTGGAGTACAAAAGGAGAGCTTACTGTCCTCTGAGACAGTAGAAGCAACAGTGGTTGCTCTTGTAGGAGGAGAGTTCCAGTTTC